CGTGTGTCTGTAGAGCACACGCGAGCGTGCATGCCTGTGCGTCAGTGCTCGTGTGCACACATGGGTGCACACGCGTGCAAGCATGCCTCAATGCAGGTGTGCACACGCGCGTGGCTGTGTGCACACACATGTGTGTATGCACGCATGTGTGTGTGGGTGATCGCGTGTGCGAAGATGGGGCAGCTCTGTGGGACGGGCTTGTTTTCCGTGGGTCTGGACTCAGCGTCCAGGTGGGCATCTGGGATGGTCCCCTCCATGGGAGCTCAGGGCCGCCTGCCTCTGCCCCTTTGGGGTTCGAGGTTGAGTGTCCCCACGAGTGGACAGGCCTGGCCCCAGGCAGGACCCCCACACCTGGGAGAGGGTGGGCGCCTGTTTGTGGGGTGCCTGAGGGCAAAGGAGGGCCTGTCCCCACACACGGGGGAGGCGCGGCCTCTGCGTTGGCACAGAGCAACCACGCAGAGTCTCAGGAGGCCCAGGGTGCCCAGGGCAGGAGGACAGGCCAGCGTCCCCCAGAACTTGGGCTGGTACAGAAGTGGGAAAGAGTGTGCGCTCACTTCCCTGAGGGCTCCGGAGGGGCTTCTGTGATCCCTGACCACACCCTGCAGCCCCAGTAGCTTCTGGTTGCAGGGACGGCCCGGAGTGTGGCCGCCTCTGGCAAAGTCCCCTGTCCTGCCTCAGGCGACTCCTGGCCACATGCTGGGCAGCCTGTGCAGACCTGCCCACTCGGAGTCCAGGCCCCCTTGGGACCCGCTCTCTCCCACCAACGGTGACCCCTTGGCCTCGGAGCCGGGCTGTCCCTGCCGCCCAGAGACCCGGGTGTCCTGAGCTCTGCCTCGGAAAGAACCATGACAGCGTCGCTGGGTCCCAGGGCAGTGCTGGGTGCTTTATTTCATGCAGGGACGCCTGCCCGGGAGGTATGTACACAGGGGTGGGGGCTCCGGCATCCTCGTGGGACCCCAAGAGCCTGTGGGTGGGGGGCTTGCTGGGGGGCCGGGCGTGTTGCTCATTTACCCGGAGACTGGGAGATGGACTTCTGTGTGTGGTGGTTGTGGAGGGCTTCATGCAGCACTGCACACGTGAAGACGTCTCCCCGCTGCCAGCGCGCCTTGTCCACCGAGAGCTTGCTGTAGAGGAAGTAGCTGCCGTCCGCGTCCAGCTGGGGCGTGGTTGTTCGGACACTGGCCTCTGGTAACTGCTGGCCGCTGCTCTGCCACTCCACATCAACGTCAGGTGGGTAGAAGTCTTTGACCAGGCAGGTCACACTGACGGTGTTCTTAGTCATCTCGTCCCGGGGTGGGGGCAGGACATACACACTGGGCTGCTGGGGATCCCCTGTGGGGTCAGAGGTCAGCACAGATGGTCACTCGGAGGGTGGAGGGCTGTGCTTGGTCTGCAAGACCCCCTCTTTGACCCTTCCTGCTCCCCAGCCACCCTGCTGCTCACCTCTGGCCTTGGAGATGGTCTTCTCAATGGGGGATGGGAGACCTTTATTGTTGACCTTGCACTTGAAGACCTTCCCCTTGAGCCAGTCCTGGTGCTGGATGGGGAGGACACTGACCACACGGAAGGTGCTGTTGAACTGCTCCTCTCGCGAATTTGTCTTGGCCGTGTGCACCTCCTGGTTGTCCACGAACCAGGTGATCTGGACCTCAGGTTCTTCCAGGTCCACCACCATGCATGTGACCTCAGGGGTTCGGGAAATGGAGAGGGTGTCCCTGGGTTTCGGGGGGAAGATGAAGACCGAAGGTCCTCCCAGCATATTACATTCTAGTGAGGGAGACAGAGCACAGGGGTCAGATGGTGGGTGGCCTTCCTCTTGAACATCCATTGCCCTCACCAGGCCTTCTGCTTTGGGTGCAGGGAAAGGCCTGCTGACTCACCTGGACATTTCGGACATTTGCATTCTTCAGAAGGTGGCGGTTTGGTCACTGCAGAGAGAGCAGACTGGGCATTACTGGGTGTCTGGGCTGGGCATAAGTTGGGGTGGGCATAGGTGACGGCCAGGTCTTGGGCGGTTCCCAGTCCAGGGACTGGAGTGGGGGGTAAGCCGCTGGATGCCAACACCCAGAGGATCTCCTCCCTCAATTGGGAGGCCTGCAGGTGGGGCAGACAGTGGTGCCTCCCCTGTGCCCTGGGGTCCAGGCTGGCCAGGTGACCTGGCCTGTGTCCCAGGGGACACCCTCCCTGAGGCCCGTCCTCTCACCTCTCTTGTCCACCTTGGTGTTACTGGCTGGGTGGGCCACGGTGCAGATGAAGGTGTCGCTGGCCCACTTGCTGGGGGGCACGGTCACCATGCTGCTGAGAGAGTAGAGCCCCGAGGACTGCAGGACGGACGGGAAGGTGTGCACACCGCTGGTCAAGGAGCCGGAGTTCCAGGACACAGTGACAGGCTCAGGGAAGTAGCCGGACACCAGGCAGGCCAGGGCCACTGTGGGTCCGGAGGTGGCCCCGCAGCTGGGGGCCAGTGGGAAAACCGATGGGGCCGTGGTGGAGGCTGCAAGAGAGGAGGTTGTGTGACCACCAGGGTCTCACCCTGCGACTGTCAGGGCAGGACAGCAGGTGCCCAGGCCTGGGGCGTCCAGGGCCCAGCACCCATGTGCTTCCTGGACGTCTGCAGACCAGCTGCCTGGCCTGGCTCTCTGCGGCCACGGGTCCTGGACTCATCAGCCTGGTCAGGGCTGGGTGACCACCTGGGTCAGAGTCTCCTGGGCCTCTGGCCCTGGGTCCCCACTCGAGCTTCCTCTGGGTGTCCGGCCTGACCAAGCCTGTCTGAGCCCTGACCTGTGGCCCCTGCTCGCGGCTGGCTCCTGCTGGCCCCCTGAGCCCACTGCCCTCTGTCCCCACCGGATTGTGCCTTGGACCAGTGGAGACGTCCACGCACGGCCCCGGCCCCTCAGGGCCCCACGTCTTCTGGGTCGGCTCTGCAGCCCAAGCAGCCGGGCCCCGGGCCCCGTCCCTGCCCCGAACCCACCAGACCCTCCTCAGGCCTTCGTGGCATGGCCCCCCGAGTTCACTGAGGGCCTGCCCAGCCAGTGTCCCTGGCCTGGGCCATCCCCGCTCTGGGGCCTGTCCAGCTCCTTGCTCTCCACGGAGCCCTTCAGCCGACATTTTCCTGAGCCTGTGGCCCCTCAGCATGGAGGGGAGCCTTGCGCTGCCCTGGCTGTCCTGTCCTGTGTGGGACCAGCACCTCAGCATCTCAGAGCCCTGGTCCCAGCCAGCCTCTCCCCTCTGGCCCTGCATTCCCTCCCGCCACAGCCCAGGCTGGCTGCCCTGCGTCAAGCTCTGGTCGGGCCCCGTGCTCTCTCCTCCCCTGGGTCCGCGGCGCCGGGCCTCCCCA